AATTATCTGAGTAGTTTATAAATATTGTCATTTGGCTTTTTCGGTTTTCTCTTGCCACAAAATAAATTATCCTCAAATTTAGAAGATTAAAATAACAATCTTACTATTATAAATCAGTACACTGTGTGTACTAGACTGTTCTCATGCTGCTATCAAGAACTGCCTGAGACTGGGTAATTTATAAAGGAAAGAGGTTTAATTGACTCACAGCTCTGCATGGCTGGGGAGGCCTCAGGAAACTTACAATCATGGTAGAAGAGGAAGCAAACACGTCCTTCTTCACATGGCAACAGTAAGGAATAGTATGAGCAAAGTGGAGGAAAGGCCGCTTATAAAAACCATCTCGTGAGAACTCACTCACTGTCATGAGAACAGCATGAGGGTAACTGCCTCCATAAGTCAATTACCTCCCATTGGGTCCCTCCCACGACACGTGGGGCTTATGGGAGCCACAACTCAAGATGAGATTTGGGTGGGGACACAGCCAAACCACATCACTGTGGACCAGAAATTCAGACAAGGCTCAACTGGTTGATTCTTCTGCTCCATGTGGTGTTGACTGGGGTCACCAAGTGGTGATCAGCTGTCAGATAGTCTGGTCTGGAAGGTTCAAGACAGCTTTGCTCATATGTCTGGCAACTTGGCAAGGGCAGATGGAAATCTAGGTTCAACTGGGACTGTCACCTGGAATGCTTATACATGCCCTCTCTAGCACTGTGATCTCAGAGTAGAGTCTTGTAAGAGACAAAAAGTGGTCTCGTACATACTAGCTCTGGAAACTGGCAGAGTGTCACATCTACCATAGGCTATTAGTCATAGGAGTCAATCCAGAGTCAGGGGACAGGACATAAACCCCACCAGCTAAAGATGCAATCATCTTTAAAGATGATTGCATCTTTAACTGGCAAAGAAGCACATCATGAGAAAATAATGCAGCTTTGTATCTCTCACTAATGAACTCATCCATCAAAAGGTAACTATTATCAAAGGAATAATCTAACATACAAAAGAGCATCAGCTATACATCTTAAAGTCATCCATGTACCTTTTATGCCTTTATTCCTCATAGCAATTGCTGTCAATACTTCCACCAAAAAATCTTACAAATTTTCCTTTCCTTTCCCCTTACAGTGCCTGGAGGTGGTGACTTATAAAAGTTGAGTTTTGTTATGAGCTAATTATGTGCTAAAAATCGTGCTAAATAACTTTGCAAGCACAATCTCATTTCATTGTGCCTACCACCACTATGAGGTATATATTGTCATAGTCTCCATTGCATAGATTAAGATACTTTGTGAAGTAAATGACTTGTATGTTATCTCCCAGCCATCTAGTGGAGAAGATTAGATTGAAACCTGGGCACCTGACTCCGCAGTCTTCATTCCTAACCAGAAACTCCATGCTTATACATGGAGCACCTTGGCCCAGAGGCACAGCTTTACCTGCATCCTGGCTTCTTGCCTTTGGTTGGGCAACTCTGGTGGAGCTGCTACATGCCCCGCACCAACCCTCTACCAAAAGAGTCATTGTCTCTCTGTGTACATCCACACCTCATGCTCAGATAACAGTTATTTCTAATATATCTAAATTTTCTTATCCAAACAAAAATTGCATACTGCTTTGGGGAGGCAACAGTCTTCTTTAAGGAGAAACAAAACGGGCAACACAGGAGATGTAAGCAGAAACGATCCACTGATCATTAGCTGACATACTGTAACTGTCCGGGTTTAATTGGCAAAAGAAAACAGCTCCAAGAGCAGAGTTAAAAATAATTTTCCCAATGTTTCAAAATATAAGTGGCACAGAGATAATTAAGACAGCTCAGGATGGCAGCCTCTGGAGTAAGTTATGTCATGTTGTGACTTTACTGGTTTCAGAGAAACTTACCAACTACTGCCTTGACGTCACAAAATTGTTTTGTGTTATCTCCACTTTGAGGTGAGAGAGAGGCTGAGGTATCATGTCCCAAGGCATGGCTTCCTTCAGCCCCAAGGTTGGAAGAAGGTTCTCCTTAAACCCGGGGAGCTTGACTGATGACAGGCTGCCTGGCAAGTGGGAAGTAAACCAGTCAAGCACAGATGCACTTGGCTGCTGGGTGGACCACATAGACCCTCTCTCCGCCTGGGGCCTGGGAAGAGCCACCATTCACCTTGAGGACTTTCCCAAGCCCCAGGGCCTGCAGCTCTGACCTTCCACTGCTTCTTTCTCAACTCATCATGTGTTTGAACTTGGCCTCTACAGGCAGTAGCTATGAACCTGACCCTTTACAGTGGCCTCTAAAAATATTGGAGAAGTTTTCTGAAAAGCTACCTTTCCTATTATGTCATGAATATTTAGAACAAAAAGGGGAACTGGAGATGGTGGTGATTATATCATATGAATACATGTATGTTTGCTTTTAAATTTTTTTCCACTTGTAGACATCATGTTATTTGTGTACATTTATCTGCCTTCTATCAGGTAGCTTTTTTTCACAAACAATTTTGTCGTCAAAAGAATATAAGCCCCAAAACACACTATTTATGTCCTGTGTCTTCCTCCCATTCTGCACAAAAACCTATGTATAATTATAATCAGCGTATTCACATTATTTTATCTAGATGTTTCACACACAATTTTTCTGATCTTTTCCAAGAATTTGAATAATTTGTGTGTATTTTAGTAAAAGGAATACAGTGTTTCAATGTACTTGTATACATTCACACTATTTAATTATTTATCAACAGGTATTTTGATTAATAAGACCTACTGAAGTTAATCAGTATAATAGTTGTTAATGTTCTTATTACTGTGGGTAGAAAAAAAACCACATAACATGAAATCTACCATCAGCAATTTTTTAAGTTTACAAAGGAACTCACTAAGTATAATTCTGAAGTTTTAAGCCAATGTATACTGTGTACTGGCTTTGGAGTCTTCAAAGGAGAATCTAACTTTTTTTTCATATTTTTATTTATATTGTATTTTTTAAAAATTAGCAATAGCATAAGCCAGCTAAGAAACAGCATAAAGCAGCATATTCTGACTGGTGATCTACATTAAAAGAAAACTAAATAGGTGCCTACTTACATTAAAAAGGTATTATCTTATTTTATGGAACAAGGCAAGTGAATTGAACTAATGAATAGAAACAGAGAAACCGGTAGTATGGGTAAATGGGACCATTTAGTTTTATGTTTAGTAGTGCTGGGTCATCAATAGGATTGCCTTTTCCCAAGACCAAGAAGGCACCTGCTTAGGAGAGGGTTAACCTGAGCACTTTTATAATGGCTGGGAGAGATGAGTTTGCAGGTCCCAGAACCTACAAGCCTAGTGCCATGATCAGAGTTCAACATGGAACAGAAACACTGAAATCACCAAAAAGAAACTTCCCCACTTTACTGTATGGTACAAATCAAACAGCTTCTTGCCTTACCTATTGAAGATAAGTTCTGTAGCTGGGTGTGGTGGCTCATGCCTGTAATCTCAGCACTTTAGGATGCCGAGGCCGGTGGATCATGAAGTCAAGAGATCGAGAACATCGTGGCTATCAAAGTGAAACCCCATCTCTACTAAAAATACAAAAAATTAGCTGGACATAGTGGCATGCATCTGTAGTCCTAGCTACTCAGGAGGCTGAAGCAGGAGAATCACTTGAACCCAGGAGGTAGAGGTTGCAGTGAGCTGAGATGACGCCACTGCACTCCAGCCTGGGCAACAGAGCAAGACTCCATCTCAAAAAAAAAAAAAAGGAAGATAAGCTCTGCTAGAGGAGATAGAGGAGACAAGGTTTTAATTTAAACAAGAGAACCTGCTCAGAGATGATTTCAACCCCGTAACTTTAAACTCTGACTCTATGTTAAGTCCTTATGATCCAATCCAAAAATTTGTTCTTTTTCCCCCAAGTCACAGTAGCTTTTAGACTCTGAATACAGCTGACGTTTTCAATAGAAAACTAAATCTTTCTAGGTAATACTGAGTTCAATTCAGTTCGGTGTAATTTCTTTATTTTTCTGTTTATTTATTTTTATTATACTTTAAGGTCTGGGATACATGTGCAGATTGTGCAGGATTGTTACATAGGTACACACATGCCATGGTGGTTTCCTGCCTCCATCCCCCCATCGCCTACGTTAGGTATTTCTCCTAATGTTATCCCTCCCCAACCCCCTACCCCCTGCTATCCCTCCCCTAGCCCCCCACCCCCAACAGACCCCAGTGTGTGATGTCCCCCTCCCTGTGCCCATGTGTTCTCATTTTTCAACACCCACTTATGAGTGAGAACATGCAGTGTTTAGTTTTCTGTTCTTATGTCGGTTTGCAAGAATGATGTTTTCCGGATTCATACATGTCCCTACAAAGGACATGAACACATCTGTTTTTATGGCTTCGTAGTATTCCATGGTGTATATGTGCCACATTTTCTTTATCCAGTCTATCATTGATGGGCATTTGGGTTGGTTCCAGGTCTGTACTATTGTAAACAGTGCCACAATGAATGAAAAGTATAGCATTCAGAGAATGCTGCGTAGTGTGATCACACCTAGACAGATCGATACCTCTTGAGAGATTCAAAAATGCTTCACACAGGTAGATATGCTTTAATGGGGTCTTGACATTTTTGCATACAAATTCACAAATCAGCACTTCTTCCCTCCTATTCTGTTTTCCCCAGCCTCCAGAAGAAGATAGGTGGGACCTCATTTTCTAAATGCAGTTGATCCTTGAACTAATACTGTTTTTACTTCATGTGGAATCACTAGATATATTCAACATTCTGCATTTGGACTAATTTTCTTATGTTCAGCCCTGGTTCTAGACATATAAAACAATTTTGAATCTCCAAACAAAATACGTTCATAAGATTCAGTCATCTATTTTATTTTGGACTATATGAAAGCAAACTTAAAAATGCGAATGCACGGTTATTTTTCATCCAGTTGTTTTAACAACGTTTAAACACAGGTTGAGAACTTGGAGCTCCCAGCTCACAAATAAATCATGTTCCTGTATTTTAACAGATGCAATGCTCTTGGTGGCAGAGCGACTGGAGGGGCCATTCAACATTGAGTCGGTCATGGACCCCATAGATGTCAAGATTTCTGAAGCCATTATGAACATGCAAGAAAACAGCATGCAGGTGTCTGCAAAGGTATTTGCATTAGTAATATATCTACCAATACATGTACATTATACAGGTGTGGTAACCTAAAGACGAAGTAACTGGATATGTCAGCTGGGCTTATAAATTCTAAAATGCTGTCAGTGAGCTTTTCCTGTTGAGCCACAAATTTGCTACTTAGTTAAAAATGTCTAACAAAATGGCATTGAGAAGGGAAGCAATTTTTTAGCTTGCAACTACTCAATCACAAAGAAATTAGGGCTGCCAAAAAGTTTCAGAGAGCCCCAAGTATATTGACCAATCCCTCACATTTGTGATCAATTTGGGGGGAATTTTCTTTTTAACATTTGAAATGTCTACACACCCTCACCTTGTTCTCTCTCTAGTAACTTCTAATTATATATATGGCTGTGCAGAAACCAGGCACATGTTCTGTATTTTCAATTGTAAATAATTAAACATCCCATCTGACTTCCTTTTAAGACTACAGTGTAACTTTCATTAATGAATCTTCAGGGGAAAATGCTTCTTTGTATGAAGTCAAGCACACATGAAAAGGAAAAGAGTAGCACATTTTCACAAATCATATGAGACAGAGCTTCTGGGTTTGCAGCTGCAGAACACGTAAGCCAGGTGCACAGTTTTTACTTGTCTCCACCCAGTTGAAGATAAACAGGACCCACCTTAAGCAAAACGGAGACATTTGCAGCAGGTCTCTCGCCTCGTCCTTCATCAGCTTTTTTCTCCCATAGTGATGACTGCACAAGGACTGATATAGATTTGGTTAGTGTTTCATGACAGTTTCAACACTAACCAAATCTATATCAGTCCTTTAAACCTGGTGACTGAGTGATTGCATTTTAATTGAAAGTCATTCGCACTAAAATATGTCAGGAAAAGAGTTGCATGATTAGCTTTCTTTAATTTTTAAAATCCTTTGTGGAAGAGATTTCAAATAAAATCATGGAGGAGGGGACAGGTGGTAGAGAGACCTTGCAGAGTAGATAAAAAGAGCCACAGATTCCTACCAGGGCTTCTTGGCTAAGCATGAATCCAACTAGATTTGGGCTTTTCAGAGTGAACTGTTAGGATGAAGGGGAAGAAAGAATCTGGCCTGGGTCCCTTTTTCTCCCTGGGAGATGGATCTGAGAGTTTCATAGGCCTTTTGGGGGGCTTTAATGAACTCAGGGTAGCCTGTATAAAGGAGGATGCTCCAAATTACCATCATCTGTTGGGGAAATAGCACATTTGGGGTTTCCATGAAAGGCCATTTTCTTTCTTTCCTGTGGAAAAAAATAGCAATCATCTATTCCTCTCAAATCTATTGCCTAGAAACCAATTAATGTTATTTTGAGAGACACGGTATCCCGTTGGTGCTCAAGTAATCAGGTGCTAAGATTGCTAATGTTAAAAACAGCTCTAGAGAATAGGACATGAGGAACACATGGACAAAATTATCTGCAGTTTGAGACCATCACAACTTCTTACAAGTGGGTATCTGTTTCCTTTGATGTGTGTGCCTACATTTTCCAAGTCAAGTATTCCTTTTTACTCTTTTCATTCCATTCATTCATTCATTCATTCAGCATGCATTTATTGAGAATCCATGTGGCAAACAGTGCTCTGTATGGCAGATACAGGAGTGAACAAGGCACCATTCCTGTCCTCAGTATGCTTACTTTCTAAGAGGAGAGACAGACACCTAACAGACCAGCAATTATGTAAATTAATTAACATAACATAGCACCAGACAATAATAAATAATAGGAAAAAGCTTCTCCTCCCTCAGTGCCTGGACATATTTGAACAGGAAGTTTCTACCATTGATTATATATATTTTTTCAAGGAACCTTAGTTCCTCTAAAAGCAACAGCATCCTCACTGGTGTTCTGGCTTCCACTCTGGAACCCCCTCAAATTTGTTCTTCATCCAGTAGCCAAAGTATTTCTACAACATCAATATGGTCATGCACCACGCCCCACCTCCCTCCATGTCCCCAGTCCCCCGCTTTGCCTTTCAGTGGCTTCTTTTCTACTTACAATGGAATAAACCTCCTGCAAGATCTTGCATTATCTGGCCCCTGCCTATCATCTAGCCTTGTTTCACACCAGTGGCCCTTTTATTTACCTGTTCAGCCACATGGTCTCACTTTCAGTTCTTTGATTATACTTGTAGCTTCTTTGTCCTGTAATGCTTTTCATTCCTCTGATCTTTTAGTAGGCCCATCTTGTAATTCTTTGTCACAGAAATCTGTCACTGCATCTATTATATATGTATTTGTTTGGTATCGGTTCCCTACCAGTCTTCTCCTGACTTCACTCATCTGAAACTCCATGAGTGACCAGGATCCCAGCTGTGTAGCTAGAACATAGCCCAGCACTTGGCACATAGAAATTATAGGCAGATGCTTGTTGAATGCATACTAAAGAAAAAAAAATGAAATACACCAGTGAGTGAGCTGCAAACAACTGTTAAGAAATGGACCCATTTCAAGCAAAGAAACTATGCTTTCTCAAGTCCAACAGAGCTTAAAGGTTAAAAAGAAAAAGATAAAAAGATAAAGAAAAGCAACCACTTCTGTAATAGTTACACTATTTGTCCTCAACCAGCCTGTCTTGCATCTGCCAGGTGGCCCGTCATTTCCCTCCTGCACTCTGCTTTCTTTGAGGAGTTACATTTCTTCACTTAAAATTAAAAGAGCTCCTTTCTCAAGAGAGTTGCCCTGTTCACATGGGGAGATGACTGGGAGGCCAGCTTCAAGTTTAAAAAATGCTATTTCTGAGAATGTAGTCTGTGTATATTGAATCCAGTGCCTGAAGTCACACCCACAAAGTTTTGTAGTGTAACAAGTCAGGGTAACTAATGTCACTCACTGCCATACAAATTGATGGAGTTGTGGCACAGTTGGAGGTTAGAGAGTTAGATGTTCCTCCTTTACATTGCTGTTGGTTCCCTATGTCCATCCAAACCTAGTAAAATAAATAAATCTTTAATAAAGGAACACAGGACCAGATATCATGGGACCTGGATTTTAGGTATGTCTAGTGTACTCACTGATATCACAAAGACTAATGATCCTAATGTATACTGAGTGCTGAAATATCCCTTAGTGCTCCATCCTCATCTATAAAATGACTAAATATAAAGAAGAAATAATATGATTTTGTGGACTACCTTTGCAAATTAAAATGACAGTTCTCAAGTTGGGGTTTACGGTACTCTAGGGGCCCCCATGACCATTTTGAGTTGTCTAAGAAACCAAAAGTATTCTTTATGATAATACAGACAAGATTTGCCTTTCCCCACTATGTTGACGTTTGTATTGATGGCACAAAAACAAGGCTGGTAGCTTAGTATGAATCAATTCAGTGGCATAAAAACAGTTTCATTTAAGAAATTGCCAGTGAAGTAATAAAAACCACTAATTTTTAAAAAAGAGACAAGGTGTGGTGGCTTTTGGGTGTATTCCAGCATTTTGGGAGGCCAAGGCAGGAGGATCACTTGAGCCAGAGAGGTTGAGGCTGTGTCAGCTATAATTACGCCTTTGCACTCCAGCCTAGGCAACAGGATGAGACCCCCCAGCTCTAGAAAGACAAAAAAAAAGGGAAAGAAAAAGTACATTGGCCCATTTTAAAGAATGGGCTAACTAAATGATTATCTTCTTTAAATTTATTTTTAATTGACAAATAAAATTGTATATGCATACGATATTACAAGATTGTTTTGAAATATGTATATATTGAAAAATGGTTAAATCAAGCTAATTAACAAATGCATTGTCCCTCACATATTTATTATTCTATTCTTGGTGAGAACACTTAAAATCTACTCTCTCAGCAATTTTCAAGTATACAATACATTGTTATTAACTATAGTTCAGGTCAAGTATTCATTAAAAATTTTTCAAGAGGTCAGATAGGCTGTTACCAGAATATAAATCAGAGATAGTTATGGAATTTTTCCAACTACTTTATTACAGTATTTCTGTTAAAAAATGAATGTACTTTAATATGAAACATATCTTTGTAAGAAATGTTAAATTAAGAATAGAAATAATATGGGGGGGGGTGCAGCCAGGCATGGTGGTTCATGCCTGTAATCCCATCTCTTTGGGAGGCCCAGGCAGGCAGAACACTAGAGGTCAGGAGTTTGAAACCAACCTGGCCAATATGGTGAAACTGCTACTAAAAATATAAAAATTAGCCAGGCATGGTGGCATATGCCTGTTAATCCCATCTACTCAGGAGGCTGAGGCAGAAGAATCACTTGAACCTAGGAGGCAAAGGTTGCAGTGAGCCAAGATCACGCTAATGCACTCCACCCTAGTTGAGAGAGTAAGACTCCATCTTAAAAAAAAAAAAAAAAAAAAGAGAGAGAGAGAGAGATTATACAGGGCATGTAAGAGTCCACTCACGTGAAAGGATACAGGATGAAGGGTCAAAACATGGTAGAAACAAAATAGTGTGTCTGGTAGGGCTGGCACAGAGAAAAGAGGATGCAAGGAATTAACGAAGAGGAGAAGGAGAAGAAAACAGCCAGATTCTTCAGGAAAGAGGGAAAGGAAGCCAGGAGTCTGCTATGGAAGATGGAGTTAAGGAAGAACTAAAGCCATCTTTAAATATCATGGAGTAGTAAAGGTGGTTAGAATTTGGACAAATTCCATGGGAAACACCAGCAGAATTTGCTGGTGGGACAGATGTATTCTGAAAAGAGATTTTATTTCATCAAGGGAATGGAATTTACTTTTAAATTTAGAAATATGTAGTTTTATTTTCCATATACATGAAATTATAATACACATGAAGTAGAGTCTAAAATCTATATTCTAGCTAAGAACTGAGTGGTTGAACTTATCTTTTTTTTTCAAAGAAACCCTGAGACACTGTTGATAAACCGTCTCATCACATTTGAAGTTCTGGATTTCTAGACCGAGGCTGAGTATTTACATAACCAGAAATTTGTTTAACTTCTGAGAGGCAAGCTCCAGGTGAGGCCAGAAGCTAGCTCCTAAGGGGGCCAGACATTCTGAG